CAGTGCTAGGAGCACCTTGTGAGAATCAGAAGTGCCTTCAAGTCTCTTCCTGCCAAGCCGGCTGTGGAGACTCAGATGTCGGGGTGATGAATTAAGGCTTATCCTGTAGACAAAGAGGGTCACTGAGGAAACTGAAAAGAAAACATAGAATTGCTGACATTTAAGAAAGTGACCTCTCTGGAGGGAGAATTCCAGGGGGTAAAGAGTATGGTAGAGCAAGGGGCAGAGACCAGAGCAGGAGGCATGAGCAGAGTTTCCACCAAGGCCAGCAAGACAGGATGGACAATGCTAAGAATCAGGGACAGAAAAGTGGGGACAGAATGGTGACACGTACAGTCACTACAACTGGTAGGATTAGTGACAGGCCCAAGGAAGCCAGAGGGTAAGAGAAACTGAGAATGACCCCAAGGTTTCTGGCTTTAATAATGAGGGATATTGATGCAATAATTAGTGCTTCAATCCAGAGGAGGAGGACGAAATCGGAGGGGTTGGAGGGAACAGTAATGAGCTCTTGGGTTCGCCATGTGGAGCCACCCAGCGGCTGAGATACAGGTGTGAGCTAGGAAGTGGGTGGGGGGAGTCTGTCAATGAGGGAATCACCAGCGTGAAAGCAGTGGCTGAAGCCATTGCCATACATGAGCTTGGAGAGTTCACAAAAAATGAGAAAGACTCTAGGACCCAGAGGAAGTGGCAAGAGAGTAGCCTTTCAAGGTTAAGGGCCTGGAGTTCTCCAGAGGACCCCAGGACCAGTGGAGACCAGAGCAACAGTGGTTGTCATCAGATGATGGAATTGTGAGGGGTTTTATCCCTCTTCTTTTCTTTTTCATCCCCCACCCACCCCCTTATTGAGGCTTGAACCCAGGGCCTTAGCACGAAGCTATATCCCCAGGCCTTTTTCTTTCTTTTTTTTAAATTTTGAGACAGAGTCTTGCTAAATTGCTAAATTGCCCAAACTGGGCTTGAATTTGTGATCCTCTTGCCTCAGTCTCCCAGAGTGCTGGGACTACAGGCATGCATGACCATGTTTGGCTTTATTCTTCACCTTATTTATTTGGTACTGGGATTGAATCCAGGGCCTTGTGCCTGCTAGGCAAGTGCTCTATCACTGAGCTACAGCTAGAACTCCCATTTTTGAAAATTTAACTCTTTTATCAAAAGAGTAATTACATGTGGCCATTCTCTGATTTTAAAAAAATTAACCATTCTGTATTAGAAAAATAAAAAGAGGGCCAGGGATTTAGCTCAGTGGCACTGCGCCTGCCTCTCAAGCACAAGGTCCCGAGTTCAATTCCCAGTACCAAAAAAGAAAAAGATAGTTCCCAAAATGTCGTAAGCTGCTGAGAAGCTTAGCACACTAATTGGGAAGAGTCGCAGAGCTGGCATTTGGGGACCATGTCCAGCTCCCATTCTCGTAAGAACCGTCTCCTTTCCCTGGCCCTCAAACCCCTAGGGAACAAGGGCAGCTCCTGGTGGCCCTGTTTCTGCTTGTGACCTGCTTTTGGACCACAGATGAGTGGACAAGGTGTGCATGTGGTATAAGCCCAGCCAGTCAGAGCGCCTCTGAATTGGGATGGTGGTCCTGCATTGGGATGGTGGCCCAGTTCTGAGTGACAGGGCCTGCACAGTGTGAGCTTGGGAGCTTCCAGCCAGCACAAAGGCTGAGGCAACCATTTGAGAGCAGGGTGAGGGTCCAGCAGACAGAGATGGAAGCAAGTGAAAACTGGGAAAAATCTCACATTCAAGGCTGAAGGCTGACTAGTGTAGGATGAACAGAAAGGATGGGGGAGATTGGAGAGAAGGGCAGACCAGGACTTCAGGCGGAAATTTGGAGGCTTTCTTATTACAGTGAGAGGCTGTAGAAGGCTGTGAAGAGACTGAGGAGTCTGACCAGATTTACCCTTTTAAATCTGGGGCAAGAGTAGAGCTGTGTGGAGGCCCTCGCAGTATCCAGGCAACAACAGTGGGCCGGGCTTCATTGGGGACAGGGACAGAGAGGTGCTGACAAGGGTGACTGGCAGGTGATGCTGTTGCTATTCCTGGGATAGAGAAGACAGGAAGCCTTCCATTCTGTCACATTGAGGTTGCTGAAGGCTGGTTGAAGTGGAAATGCCTTGAAAGCAGTGAACAGCATTAGTCTGCAGTTGGGAGACAGGTCAGGGCTGGTGCCCCTGAATGGTGAAAATGTGAGTGGCATCAGGGGACAGCTGGCATTTAGCCCTAGGCTTCGAAGAGTGCACCTGGAGGGGAGAAACTGTTGGGACCCAGAAGCCCAGAAGAAACTGCCTTTGTTTTTTGTTTTGTTTTTGTTTTTTGGTACCGGGGATCAAACTCAGGACCTTGCACTTTCAAGGCAGGAGGCAGGCAGCAGTACCACTGAGCTAAATCCCCAGCTAAAACTGCCTTTGTTAAGCCCCCTGCTGAGGACAGAGACAGGGCCTTTAGATTTGATGATGAAAGTTCCTCCTGATCTTGAGAATAGTCCTGGGAAGTGTGGATCTAGAAGTTAAATTGGAATGGAAAGAGGGTAGTCAGTAGGCTAGGAATGTAGCTCAGCAGTGCAGCGCCTGCCTGGCAAGCACAAGGCCCTGAGTTGGATTCCTAGTACCAAAAAAAAAAAAAAAAAGAAGACCAGTCATCATGGTCACCACAGCCTGGCCTGATCCTTGCTTGGAATCTGGATTAAAAAATAGGTATGGGGGACCAGAGATTTAGCTCAGTGGCGGTGTGCCTGCCTTGCAAGGACAAGGTCCTGAGTTCAAGCCCCAGTACCAAAAAAAAAAAAAAAAAGCTATGGGCTAGCCAGGCATGGCGGTGCATGCCTATAATCCCACAGGAGGCTGAGGTAGGAGGATTGCCTCAAATTCCAGACCAGCCTGGGCTACATAGTGAGTTCAAGGCCAGCCTGAACTACACAGTGAGATCCTGTCTCAAAAAAAAAAAAGCTAAGGAGCTAGGGGTGTAGCTCAGTGGTAGTGCTTGCCCAATGCATGCGTTCCTGGGCTTTATCACCAGCACTGTGGGGAAATGGATGTTGAACCAACACCTCACACTTGCTTGGCAAGCACTGTGCTCTACCAAGCCACATCCCCAGCTATCAGCATTTAATTGCTTGTGCGTGATAACGGTCCTTGGTGAGAGAGAACCTTGGTCCTTAGAAGACACACATTATAGTATTCATTGTACTATTGAAACTCTGAGAAAACTGGAATAAACATTGTAGTTTCACTTGCCTTTTTGTTACAGTACTTGTTTTTGTCATCAGTTTTAGAGGTCAGGTAGCTAAGCTGGATAGTCGCATTAGCTTTGCTGTAGATAACACCTCTGACCACCTGGTCACCATGGTAACGGTTGTCTTCTTAGCTTTTCAGGAATTTAGAAGTAGCTCAAACAGGTTGAGACCATTCACTCCAGCCTGTGTAAGCATCAGACACGTGACACTTTTACATCAGAAAGCACGAGCTCCATCCTCAGAGCAAGCTGACATCACCAAACTGTATTAGGGACACGGTCCTAGGAAGACCGGGAATATGATTACACAGACTACAGATTCGTTCTTTTTTTTTCCAGTAAGTTTATTGGTACATTTTAGGTATACAATAGTTACCTTCATCATTGGAATCTTGTACCTTTACATGATGTATCTTGGTTCTTATTTTTTCCTCATTCCCCTGCTACAGATTCATTCTTTTCTTTACTCCCAATCTTCTTTTGTTTTGGGGGGATTTTTTTTGGTACTGGGAATTGAACTTGGGACCTTGTCCTTTCGAGGCAGGTGGTGGAACCACTGAGCTACATCCCCAGCCCCAACTCCCAATCTTCTTTCTCCATGCTCAGACCACTCTGCTCCATCATCTCATGAATGCCCCTAACCCCTATCTTCAGGGAGGCAGATTTAAGACTCAGGGCTCTGTCTTCTAATATTTGGCCACCTCACGCATAAACTAATTTTCTTGCAAAACTCATGGTTTCATTGATTGGTATACTGTGTTGTTGCACAGTGGGCTTTTCTAAGCAACAGCATTTAGGGGTAAAGTAACAGAATGCCTGAAATTTGCCAGTGGCTTGACATTGATAACAAATAGTAAATATATGAGTGTTCGCACACATGCGAGAGAGGGAAGAAGGAGGAAGAGAAGGAGGGAAGAAGAGAGAAAGGCATGGAGAGAAACAGAACAAGAACAAATACTAATGATATAGGGCGTATGACATAGGGATGATATACGGACCTCTAAATAATACAAAGGAAAAATTATAACTCCCAGCCTGCTAGATGTCCGATACACCAAGTTTGTGTTCTCTAAAATTGAAGAATGAAATCTAGGAACAACAGAGGTTATGAGTAAGAAACATTTATTGAGAGAAAGAGAGATAGAAGGGAGCCCGGAAAGTGAGCCCTCAGACCTCACTGGGGTGTTTTGTTTTGTTTGGGTTTTTTTGGTACCAGGGATCGAACTTGGGTCCTTGTGCTTGCACAGCAGGTGGCAAAACCACTGAGCTAAATCCCTGGGCCTTGTTTTGTTTTGTTTTGAGATAGGGTCTCACTATGAACTTGAGGCTGGCCTTGAACTCACTATGTAACCTAGGCTGGCCTCAAAACTCACAGCAATCCTCCTGCCTCAGCCTCCAAGTGCTGGGATTACAGGCATAAGCCACCATGCTAGGCGAGGACCCTGCTTTTCAGAGGAGTTTTATAGAGCAAAACCATGAGGTGAGGCAGGTATGAGGTAGGACAAAACTACAGTCAATCAATAAGATTATAAGTATAGGGGCTGAGGATTTAGTTCAGTGGTTCTGCCGCCTGCCTTGCAAGCGCAAGTTCCCGAGTTCAATCCCCGGTACCAAAAAACAAACAAACAAACAAAAGATTACAAGTATAGTCTCTTAGATAATATTGATCCAATGGAAAAATCACAAGGTGGGTATAAGGTGGGGCAAAACTGGTCAACCAGTAAGATTACAAGTACAGTTGCTTAGGTAATTTTTTTTTTTTTTTTTTGCTTAGGTAATATTGATTAAATGGTGATCAAATGAAGAGGCAAGTCACATAGCAAGTGTACATGGAATGAAGAGAGTTTTCTGGGAAGGAATGGGGTAAGGAGGTTTTGGCCCTCTATCCAAAATGATTGATTTTTTTTTTTTTTTTTTGGTACCAGAGATCGAACTCAGGACTTTGTGCTAGGGAGGCAGGCCCGGTGCAGCTGAGCTAAATCCCCGGCCCTGATTGATGTTTTAGAATACCATCACTGCTGTCCATCCCTAGGAGAAGTATGTATGTGTAGTCAATTCTTTCTCTTGAAGTTGGGCTTTGAATGAATGTGCCTCCAGCCACAATTATCTTCTGCCCTGACTTCTTTGAGGGCCCAGCCCTGACTGACTGCCTATAATATTTTTAAGTAACTTAGCTGTCTACAATCCTAATTAGAAAAGTCTAGGTGGAAGATATTTTAGGGTTGTTTTTTTTTTCAACTTTTCTGTAGGCTTGTTTCCTAAAAAAAAAAAAAAAAAGTAGTTGGGAAAAAGGGAAGAGTGATTAGCAGGATCAAGAGAGGGTTTTTATACAATTCACAGATGTTTTTAAAATGAGAGCATGTGTGTCAACAACCTTCTGTGGAAGAAGAGGACAGAACAGGAGGTGACAGAAGCAGGAGGAGGTGGGTGATGCCCCCGGGGGTGGACAGACAGGCTTCAGCAGGGTGTCTTGCCGGGGGCCTTCTTGTCTGATGACTTCCAATTTCTCCAAGTAGGATCTGAGACTGTCCACGGACAGGGACCAGGTGGGGGATGACAGGTTCAGGCAGGGGGTTGATTGGGCACAGGGCCAAGAAAAAAAACAGTAGAAAAGAAAAAAGTGGTAGAATTTGTTTGGGGTTTAAGCTCTAATCGAAGATTATTTATCTGCTTAGGGAAGGAGCCAATAGAGGACAGTTTTAAGTCCTTATAACCCTAGGCCTCAATTTCTCTGTAACGTGAGAAGCCTGAAGTGGGAGATCTCAAAGGACCCTACACACTGAAGTGTACCTTAAAGAGCATGTGTTTGGACTGTGTAAGAATTTAGGGCGGGGATGTAACTTAGTAAGCATGAGGCCCGGTGTTTGATCCCTGCACCAACTATACAAAAACCAACAATGGGCCAGGGATTTAGTTCAGTGGCATCGAGCCTGCCTCACAAGCAAAAGGTCTTGAGTTCGATCCCCGATACCAAAAAAACAACAACAACAACAAGGAAAAAATCCTAGTAAAAACTAGGTACCTAGGTGAAAGTTAAAACCAATAAACACAGAGAGGCACCCAAAAGGCAGGCTGCTTAAAGCTTCAGAGCACCACGAGGGGAGACAGGGATGGCCCAGAGGTCTGGGAGCTCTGAGCAGCTTTGACAAGGTGCCGTTGGAATGAGCACATTATTCGATCTCTTTGAGAATAAATTCTGCTTTCCTGGCTTTCACTGAAGTTCACATCACACAGCATGAAATGAAACAGTGCATTAATGTGATTAACACTGAAAAAAATCTCCGTGTGTGAGCAAATATAGCATGAAGTGGGTTCAGGAATTTAAAAATATCTATTATTAAAGACAGCCCCCAGGGCTGCAGTGACATCTGATGACAAGCCAGAGGCTGACACTGTAGTCTACGGCTGCCACAGTCCTTTCCTTAGGATTCTGTACTAATGCTCTTTCACTAGATAACCTGAGGGATTATCACTGTTACCCATTTTATAGATGGAGAAGCTAAGCACTGTCAGCAACAGGTCTCTGTATCTTTGAGGGGAAAGATTGTGCATGAGTCAACCACCTTGGATTCTCCCTAGTGACTGGCAGAGTACCAGGGGAAGGGACAGGGAGGGACGGGAGGGCTGCTGCTCAGCTCCTCAGGCAGCTCTGTTAGCCATGGCACACTACTGTGACGAGTGCCTGGCTCGATGACTGCTTTATGCAGATGGTCTCACTTAGACTCGTTGATAATCCCTGGAGGTTGGTATTATTAGCCCCAAGAGGAAGCTGAGGGTTGAGGGGTTAAATAACGTGCCAAAGGTCACACGGCAGAAATAGGAGTAAAGCTCTGATTTGTTTGAACCCAAGCCTGTGCTGTTGACCACCTGGCTATACAGTCTTTCAACAGAGCACAAGATGAACTTGAAAGCAGTTAGCACTGTGCTGAGCACAGGTACTGGGGCAGTCAGTGAAGGTCACCAACTGTGACTGAATGACTGACAGTCTGAATGAATGAATGAGTGGAGCTGGGACTTCCTGTTTTGTAGGGTCTTTCTCTTCGAATGGAAGATTTCCCCATAGCCTTTGAATGCTTAATCTAATTAAGGCAAAAAGGCATCAGAGAACTGTGTGGCCTGTCTTTTATTACCTGTCAAGTCCAATCTGTAGGCTGTTTATGTGCAAGGTCAGAGATCAGTCTTTAGCTGCTCTCTCCCATTCATCTGGCAAAGCACAGGACATAGTTTATTGATGCAAAACTGCTTGGCAGGCAGGGGTAACAAGGTGGCAGGGACAGGGAATATTGGAGTTCTAAGCTACTGTATTTCAGTCTGCTGTTTGCTGTGCTGACCTTCTTGTTCTCCAGGTTGCTGGATCACAACTTCTGAACTAAAATTAAGATAAGCAGCTGCTGACTGGCCCTAGGCTGTTCTCATGGAGTCCACTGAGATAGGGGAAGGAGTTGTCTGCTATCGAAAGAGCAAGACATGGAAGTTAGATACGGATGGTTTTTCTTTCTTTCTTTCTTTTTTTTTTGGTGTCAGGGATCGAACTCGGGTCCTTGCGCTTGCGCAGCAGGTGGCGGAAACCACTGAGCTAAATCCCCGGCCAGATACGGATGGTTTTAAAACTTCACAAATTAAAAGTATTCCTGCTTCGGCTGGGGATTTAGTTCAGTGGCACCATACCTGCCTCCCAGGTGCAAGGTCCTGAGTTCCATCCCCAGTCCTGGAAAAAATAAATAAATAAAAGTATTCCTGCTTAAGCCTCCTTCAGATAGACCCAGTGTCCTAGGGGAAGGTGAGTCTTACACTTGCAGTTTTCTGGCAGCCCAACACTATGCAGCTCCTTGGTTCCTCCACGACCATGAGCGGAGAAAGGTGGGGAAAGACGTGTGGGGCACACATCTGGCTCTACTTGCAGTGTCCTTGGGATAAAAACTAGGAGGTGGGCAGTAAGTTCCAGAGGAGGGAGGTGGACTGAGGAATTGTTGTTCATGCCTCTCATGATAGGACAAGGACTCAAACATTATTCCATTTTTAAATCAGGACTGAACTTGATTATGCCTGATCTGACAAAAAGCATCTGAGGTTATTTTAAATGGCCTCCTTATCCTTGTAAACTCAGAAATAGTGGTTTCCCAGCATACAGTTGTCTGGGTTAAATCCCTCCCCCCTCAACACATACCCACTCATGCCCATGCGCACACTCACACTCACATGCGCACATACATCCACACAGCAAAGTAAAATAGGCCATTTAGGAACACAAAATAACAAATTTTAACAAACCAAACCCCTAGTTCATCCTTATTTTCTCAGAATACAGTCCAGGTTCAAATCTGTTTCTGGACAGGAAGTGGGGCAAAGTCCCTTTCCTCTTATCTGTGGCAGGGCAGATCCCAGGCTGCACTGAGCTCTAGAAACATCCACTGCAGAGCATGGCAGGATTTAGTCCAAACTCTGCCATGATGAGCTCTGTGGACTTAGGCTCCAAGAACAAGGGACATGACCTGCCCCTTTGAGTTTGGTCAATGAGTGATAAGCAAACTGCTATTATAGGCACTGGGCTAGGGAGGCGGTTAAGGATCCTGCAGATCTACACACCAATCACTAACTATATATAACATAACTGCTGCATTCACAGTAGGAATAGTGTTTCAGATCCACAAAGGAAGGGAGCTGGGGAAGGCTTCAGAGCTATTAAAGTGGTTTCCAGACTATCAGCAGCTTCACCCCGAAGATGTCAGGCCCCACTCCCAACCTACTGAATAAGAAATTTGGAGGTGGGGGTTGCCCAGCACTCTGAATAAGCCCTCTGAGTTCTGACGCAAGCTAAATTTAAGAATTAAGAATTATAAACTACCCTGTAACAAGCAGCGTTTTTTTGTTGTTTTTTTTTTTGAGACAGTCTCACTATGTAGCCCAGGCTGGCTTGGCACTCACAGTGATTCTCCTGCCTCAGTCTCTCGAGTGCTGGGATTACAGGGGTACACTGCCACGCCCAGCTCAGCAGCTTTTTTTTTTTTTGCAAATGAAAGTTTTATTGGGATAGAGCCACACTCATTTATTTACATATTGTCTGTGGCTACCTTCTGTCTATCCAACATATGGTCTGAATGTGTGAATTTTTAAATTTGTTTTTTCAATACTAGGGGTTGAACCCAGGGCCTTTGCATTGAGCTATACCCCCAGCCCTTTTTAAATTTTGAGACATGCTAAGATATGTTATTTTGAAACAGTTTGTTAAGTCACTAAATTGCCCAAGTTGGGCTCAAATTTGCCATCCTCCTCCTCAGCCTCCCAGAGTGCTGGGATTATAGGTGTGTGCCTCCATGCTTGGCTTGAAATTTTTACTATCTCGCACATAACATAAAAGGTTTGCTGTTCTCTCCCCAAGGGAGAAACAAGAATCCTGGGAGGCCTCTGGATCTCTCCTCTGTGACTCTGCTGCCAGGGACTCTAGCAACAACCCCCTTCCTGCCTGCCCAATGTTTCTCTAAGGATTAAGCCAGTTAACATATTAGTTACTCTGCAACTAAATCTGGATTTAAGGAATGTCTTAGTCACTTTTCTCACTGCTGAGACAAAATACCCAACACCCAAAGTTAAAGGGGGAAAGATTTAGCTCATATTTTCCCTCCCTGGTACCGGGGATTGAATTCAGGACCTTGCACTTGCAAGGCAGGTGCAGTGTCACTGAGCTAACATTTTGTAGAGGTTTCAGTCTTGGCTGGCTCCAAGGCAGGGTGGGATGGCAGACAGGCATCACGAAGGAAACAGTTCATGGTGAGCAGAAGGCAGCAAAGCAAGAAAGGGAACTAACAAGCGACTTTAAGGCTTCTTTCTGACCCTTTTTATAGTCTATCTACGCTACTGGGCTTAGGGCAGTGCTGAACCAATAGTGGACTGATTGAGTAGTCGCTGCCCCCCCCTTAATCTTAGTGCCCTTAGTCCTAGCATTGCACCATGAACCAGTCACACACTCTAGATCCAGCCACCTCTGAAAAAGTCCCACCTATGACTGCATGAGGCTTTGAGGAGACATCTAGACACAGCCATAACAAGGAGGAACACAAGGAGACCAAGGAACACAATAGCCAAAGTCTGTGCTGGTTTCCCACTGAGATATGAAAGCGGTTTCCAGGGCAGTGGTTCTTAGATCAGATAGAGCCATATTTCCACTGAAATTGGATGCTGGAGGCTGCTGGAGAGGCAGTATAGAGTGCAGGTCATCTGGGGGTCTCAGAAACTGGTTTAACTTGCCATTTCTTTCCTGTTGCAACTATTGTCTTAGTAAGACCTTGCCTTGAAAACAATTCCATCTTGCACTTTTTCTTTTTAACATCTAATGGATGTGTTAACTGGCTTTACCATAGGTTAAATTTGAAAGATGAAGACACTGGCCCAAAGAAGTGAAGAGACTCCCCCAAATCAGAAGCTAATGAACATTAAAATTGTGTCTGAACCCCGAAGCCACTACAAGACATATGCCAAAACCTGGAAACGAATTGGGTGATGTATTTCTAAGAAAATGTAAACCTATACATTGCTCATGGTTTCAGAGGACATGTAACCCACCCACCTAGCATCTAAGGCTGAGGAATCTTTGGTAGGATTTCATGAAAGGGATGGACCCAGTGTCCAGTCCTTTATTTCTTTATTTGTGTGTGTGTGTGTGTGTGTGTGTGTTAAAGGACTGAATCCTAGGTCTTCACACTGAGACACATCCCCAGCCCTCTAGCCCTCCACCTTTTTATTTTGAGACAGAATCTTCCTGAGTCATGTGCCATCATTCCCAGTTGGTTTCCAGTTGAGAAGACAGGGCCCTACTTTTCTTTTTAACTGATGGTTTATAACTGTGTAAATTTACAAGGTACAAAGTGATGTAATTTATGAATACAATGTGGAATAAGTAAATCAAACTAGTCTATCCATCACCTCAAATACGTAACATTTTTTCAGTGAGACTGGGCTTTATTCTTTGTTATTTTGAAGTGTACAATGTTGTTATTAACTATATGCTATACAATAAATTTTTTGAAAAATCCCTGCAGTTATTGTGCTTATCCCAGTTGCTCCTGCTGCTGCCCAAGTAATCTGTGCGTTCCTGTGAGGGGGAGGCAGTGGCCACGTGTTGCTGCTCCGTAGGCACGTTCCCCTTTGAAAAGGAATAAACCAGCATTGTGTTTGTGCCACTCCCTGGGTATTCCTACTGCGTTTTTCCTGAACTTGGTTAGCTCTGGGGCAGAGGATCTGAAGAACTGAAAAGTGGATTCTGGGTGAATTTGACAGGAGTCGAACCTAAGGAGTTGTCTGTTCATGTTTAAACCTAAAAGGAAGCAGAAACTAACGGCCACACAACAAAAGCTGCAGCACACAATAAATATGAGTTAGTAAGAAACCAGAAAGAGATGGGGGAAAGTCAATTATTTAAATGAAACTAGACGGGAAGAAAAGCAGCAAGATAAATCACGTACAGGTACAAATTCCCTACGATGAATGTTATCATTATGTAGATCTAAAATGTACCAATAAATGTTTTGCTTAAAAAAAAAAAAACTTAAACACAAAAGGGCTAGAATTTGAACCAAGGCTGCTTTTCCAGTAGTTTGTCCCCCTAAGAAGCACTGGTAACCAGAGAAAGCAGAGAAGGGCCTTGCTTGAAGATGGAAAAATCAGGCGTGATTTGGATAAAGTGAACTCTGACATCTTTTCCAATTCTGCTATACCAGGACAAAGGCCCTGAGTTTCGAGCAAAGAGGCAGGATGCACAAAGTGTGGGGTGATAGGGCTACAATCCCTGTGGCCTCAGCCGGGATGCCCACAGACCCAGATCCACATCCACTCAGGCTGCCACACGATGCCAAAGCAAGGGCACAAAACACAGCTTATTATTATGCATTATACTCTAGGCTTTTGACTCCTTCCTTTTCTTTTCTCTCCCTCCTTTTCCTTCCTTCCTTTCTCTGTCTAAGTTGCTCAAGACTGAGCTCAAACTTGTGATCCTCTGGTCCTGCCTCAGCCTCCCAGAGGGCTGGGATTATAGGTGTGCACTCCTGGGCCAGGCTATTTTTCATATTTTCCAAGATTTGTTTTTCTAGAAATTATTTACCAAGAGTCTACTCCGCTGATGCAGAGCCTGGCGTGAATGCAACAGCCACAACCCCCTTTCCCAAATGCCTTTCAAACAAAATTAGTTGTCCATGTGCATTCCCCTGGTAAAAAGCAAGTTTGGCTCTGAGTGTCTTCGTTTTATTTTGTGGGAGCTCCATTTGACAGCACGCAAATTTAGAGGACAGGCAGTATGCGCGTTGCAATGAAACAGTTCTAGTGAAGGTGCTCTTCCTTGGCCTCTGTGGGCCGAATTCTGTTGGACTGGTTGACGTTGCTTAGCCCATCAATAACTGCAGTGGCTGAGGCCAGAGATAAAGCGTTTTTGAGTAGAGTCACGGTGCAGCCCTTCAGAATGATTTTTGGTTTGCGCAGATTCGGTTACGCACTTTCAAACAGTGCGTCCTTTCAACGTTTAAGGTGGGGAAGGAGGGTGGGGGCACAAATCTGTCAATCGTGTGAACTGACTCTACGGAAAATAGCTTGGCGCGATTAACTCCAGAAGCAAGCACGTTTGGTTTGGTAGATCGGAAGCAGAGCCTCTTCCACACTAAACTCTGACTCAGTTTCCATGGTCGTTTGTCCAGTTGATTCGTTTGGCTCTACCAGGTGGTAGATAATTTTATTGTTTGCTCGCAGCAGCATGTATCTCCTTCTCATGTTATCCTTATCTTTTGTTGTCCACTGGTCACCCTCTCCACATTGTTGACTTTGAAGGTTATGTAGGACATCTTCGTGTTGAGATTGGTTCTAGGAAAATACTTCCTTTCTCTACTCCCTAAGTCCTGTATGCTCCATCGCGTCGAGTTTGTACTCATCCGTAGTTACTAACCGTTTTAAAGTGTTTATTTCTGCCAAATGCATTTGTACAGCGTGCATTGCTATGACCATGTAGGTTTGCTTGTTAGAATTAACACAGGCGGCTACGTTGCTAGATTTTTTTTTTCTTTTTTTCCTCTCAAATCCCGGGACACGTTCAAAGGCACTTTTGGTTAGCTTGCTAGTTTCCGTGTGCTACCTGATTGTTTAGAGCATTGGTATCCATATTTATAAGTGAGATTGTATAGTTCTTTTTCCTCCCGTATTTTTGTGAGCTCCTAATTAGAATTATGCTCTCCTTGGTGATTAAATCGGGAAACTTGTCGTCATTTTCTGCGCTGTGGAACAGAAGAACAGTCTGTTTCTGGAAGTTTGGCAGAACCTGACTGCAGGCTGCTGGTGTTTTGTCTCGTTTCTGTGTTGCAGTGCCGAGGATTGAGTCCAGAGCCTAGGGCAAGTTAGGCAAGTTTTCTACCACTGAGTTGCACCCCCTGCCCTGCTGCTGTGTTTGGAAAGTTAACTGCCGTTTAGCTTTTTTCCAGGACCATTGATGTTTTTCAGATTTTCTATTTCTTCAAAGTCAGTTTGGTACTTTGCATTGAATGTCATTGAATTTTAATACTATTGAGTTTTAACCTATGGTAGCACAATGCTTGGTATAGTTCGTTGGGGGGAAAGAAACTCGTGTATCTGTGCTGTTACCTTTTTCAACACTAGTGTTTATTGGCCAGACGTGCTTAGTGATCGCTTATTTTATTCATCTTTTTGAAGAACCAGGTTTGGGAGTTATTGGTTAGTGCTACTGATTTTTATCCTTCTCCATCAGTAATTCCTGTTCTTAATATTTATCTTTCTACTTCATTGAAATTTACTTTGTTTCAAGCTCTAGCCTTCTGAATGGAAAACTTGAATCATTTATTTAACCAGTTGATCCTCCTCCTAAACCAGGCAAGGACTTGGAGTTCATTTTGTTGGCCTCCCATTTTTGTTTTTCCCTCGAGTACCGGGGATTGAACTGAGGACCTTGCGCTTGCGAGGGCGGCAGCGGCACCACTGAGCTAATTCCCTGGCCCGAGTTGGTTTTGTTTCATCCTGGCTCCCTCAAATGTGAATGTCCTTCAGAATCCTGATCGCAAAGCCCATTGGAGGAGAACCGGCTTGAGGGAAGTAGAGAGTCCTGGGGTGTTTTGTTTGTTGGTTGGTTGGTTGCTTTGTATGTGGTAGCGGGGATCGAACTGGGGTCCTTGAGCTTGCAAGGCAAGCGACGGAACCGCTGAGCTAAATCCCCAGCCCTGGAGAATCCTGGGTTTTTTCATGACCTTGAGTTTTGGGTGTCTCGGATGCGGGCTAGAGATGTTGGTTGGACGTGGTCTAGAGTGAGAGGAGAGGTTTTGGCTGGGACCTAAATTCCTGCATTGAACCTAGGGGCCCACCCGTCTATATGTATGTATGTATATGTGCATGTACGTATGTTTGTTTGTGTGTATGTATATAATTCCTGTAGTGCCTTAGGAATCATAAGTTCCTTGGAGCGGGCAGGGGGAAGCTTAGTCAAGTTCTCAAAGTCAGCATCACTTGAGGTGCGTGCAAAAATTGTAGATTGGTGGGCCCCACCTTCAGAGTGTGTTGTTGTTGTTTGTTTGTTTGTTTGTTTGTTTTGGTACTGGCATTCGAACTCAGGACCTTCTGCTTGGGAGGTAAGGGGCAGAACCACTGAGGTAAATCCCTCGCCCCTTTCAGAGATTTTAGTACAGTAAAACCAAGTAGACCTAGAGGTGTAGCTCAGTGGTAGAGTTCTTACCTAGCAAATTTGAGGTCCTCGGTTGGATTCCCAGTGCCAGAAAAACATATTTGTTGTTTTGGGTACTGGGGATTGGACTCGGAACCTTGCACTTGCAAGACAGGCGACTGAACCACTGAGCTAAATCCCCAGCCCCAATAATTTTACTTCTTTTTCTTTT